GCCCGCCGCCACGCGCGCCGCCACGCGCGCCGCCGCCGCCTCCGGAAGCGGCTCCGCCGCTGCCGCCGCACCAGACACACCGCCCCCCTGCGGCGCGGCGTCGGGCGCCGGCGGCGAGCTGTCCAGGTTTGCGGGTAGCCTCGGCCTCCCCTCTGCCTCCTCTCTGCCTCCCCTCTGCCTCCTCTCTGCCTCCTCTCTGCCTCCTCTCTGCCTCCCCTCTCTGCCTCCTCTCTGCCTCCTCTCTGCCTCCCCTCGGCCTCCCCTCTGCCTCCCCTCTGCCTCCTCTCTGCCTCCTCTCTGCCTCCCCTCTGCCTCCTCTCTGCCTCCCCTCTGCCTCCCCTCTGCCTCCCCTCGGCCTCCCCTCTGCCTCCCCTCTGCCTCCTCTCTGCCTCCTCTCTGCCTCCCCTCTGCCTCCTCTCTGCCTCCTCTCTGCCTCCCCTCTGCCTCCTCTCTGCCTCCTCTCTGCCTCCCCTCTGCCTCCTCTCTGCCTCCTCTCTGCCTCCTCTCTGCCTCCTCTCTGCCTCCTCTCTGCCTCCTCTCTGCCTCCTCTCTGCCTCCTCTCGGCCTCTCCTCTGCCTCCCCTCTGCCTCCTCTCTGCCTCCTCTCTGCCTCCCCTCTGCCTCCTCTCTGCCTCCTCTCTGCCTCCCCTCTGCCTCCTCTCTGCCTCCTCTCGGCCTCTCCTCGGCCTCCTCTCTGCCTCTCCTCTGCCTCCTCTCTGCCTCCCCTCTGCCTCCCCTCTGCCTCCTCTCTGCCTCCCCTCTGCCTCCCCTCTGCCTCCCCTCTGCCTCCCCTCTGCCTCTCCTCGGCCTCCTCTCTGCCTCCTCTCTGCCTCCTCTCTGCCTCCCCTCTGCCTCTCCTCGGCCTCCTCTCTGCCTCCTCTCTGCCTCCTCTCTGCCTCCCCTCTGCCAGCCTTGGCCCCGCGGTCGCGGCCTAACCTCGGCTCATCTCGGCGGCAATGTGAAGTGCCACGCAGGCACCCGCCCGACATCAGCCGAGATCAGCCGAGATCAGCCGAAGCTGTTCGAGACTAGGCCGGGGGTGCGAGGGCAGAGTCCGGAGATCCGAGGGTGCGTGGCGGTCCTGGAGGCGATGCGGGCGACGTTTGGGCACTGCTCTCGCCCCTGCACCGCCCCTCCCCCGCCCCCTCCTGGAAGGGTCGACGACACTTCCCCGTAGGCACATGCTGTCCTCTCTGCACCGCTCGTTCCCCGCTCGTTCCTCGCGCGGCAGGGAGAGGCCGCGCGCGCACTCCTACCGCACCACCCTCGGGAGGGAACCCACACTGGGTTCGACCACTCTGGGGGTGTGGTGGTGCTAGGCCGCGCAAGATCCTCGAGAACGTGCTCGACGCGTACGTCTTCCTCTTCACGATGTCTACCGCAGTGCGCACGCGCCGCGAGCAGCTCCGCGCACACGCGGCCCCGCCAGCCGGCAGCGCGTCGCCGCCCTCCGCGCCGCCGCCGGCCGCCGCCGCCACGGAGGCCGCAGAGGAGGGCGACGCCGCCGCGTCTGCCGAGTTGGCAGAGGGCGGCGACGGCGGCGACGGCGGCGACGGAGACGGAGACGGCGGCGATGGCGGCGACGGCGCCAACGCCGAGGGCGGATGCGGCGGCGGCGGCGGCGGCAGTGGTGGCGGCGGCAGTGGCGGCGGCAGCGGCGGCGGCGGCAGTGGCGGCGGTAGCGGCGGCGGCGGCGACGGGGTGGTCGCCGGCAGCAGTGGCGGCGGCGGTGGCGGCGGCGGCGTCGAGTACATCCGCGTGCCGTCGGGAGATGGCACGTCGACCGACGACAGCTCGTCGCTCTCTGCTTCGCTCCTCGGCACCGTCGCGGTGTCCGCCGACGCCGGCTTCGCGTCGGCCGGCCTCTCCTCCGCCCTCGGCTCGCCCACCGTCGGCTCCTCCCCTGCCCTCGGCACGCCGCGAGGCTCTCCACGCGCGCAGAAGCCGCTCCCGCCGAGCTTGGCCAAGGCGGCGGCGAGCGCGGCCGCGTCGTCGCCGCTCGGCGCCCAGTCCCACACCCCCAGAGTACCAAACCCAGTGTGGGTTCAGTCCGGTGGGTGGTGCGGTACTAGGGACTTCTCCGCTCGGCGCCGCCGCCCCCGCCGCCGCTTGCGGCCCGATGGGTCGACTGA